AAAAAATCCCTCAGTCTCAGAGGTGTTTGACTTCTAGTCTAACTTAATTTTTTTTTTCTTTTTAGTGTGGACGTAGTCAACCCATTCTTCAAAAACTTCAAACATTATTAGAGAGAGCTTTTAGTTTAAACTCTCAGCGACCAGAATTTGCTATAGAACTTGGATACCAAATGATTTTACAAGGAAAAATCAAAGAGGCAGTGAAGTGGTATAAGAGTGCCATGGCACTTGATGAGTCTAGTATCTCTTCACTATTTGGTATGGAAATCATTTTCATAAATGTTCCTAACATAGATGCAAATAATTGCTTTTAACTTACCATTAAAGAAAAACAAATGTATTTTGCAGTTTTCTGAAATTAAACTGTTCTCTACTATCAACAATAGAAAAAGTCATATACTTTTGAAAATAAAATTTTTACTTCACAAATAATATCTTGAAAGAATAGACTTTTGTAAGAGTGTTCCTATAAATTCTTTAGTAAATGATATTATATAGCTCCAAGGCTACCCATTTTACTTTCTTTCACTGTTTTCATCTCTCTTTCTGTTTTTTTTTTTTTAATCTAAAACTTTATTGTGATGGGAGGAAAATGTGTTTTATTAATGTAGTTTATGTGAGCTTGAAGTGTATATGCCTAAATTGGTGTGAACTTGACTATTTTTGTCCTGTTTGGTTTTAGGATTTATCCAATGTCAATTAATTGAAGGCCAAATAGAGGAAGCAGATCAGCAACTAGAATTTTTTAGTGCAGTTCAGCAGTCCATGGGAAAATCTGCGGTACAGTATTTTATTTTATCAGATCGTAGATCCCAGCTACTATTAATATTTATAAACTATGGAAATTTAAATCAGTCTTATTGTTTAATAATGACTTTAAAGGACTAATGTTCACTAATTTTAATATGTAATTACATTTATTAATTTACCTCCATACAAAACTAGATTTTAAATACTCTTCTAAATGATTCCAAAAGTCCATGTAGTTAATTCTTAAGTTTGAACAAATAATTATAATAAATAGTACTTTATATTCATTTGAAATCTAAGTGGAAATAAATGGCTTTATAACTGAATGGAATAATTTATGAAAACTACTTATTTTCCAGGAATTAACCTATTTACATGCCATTCTTGCTATGAAGAAAAATAAACGACAGGAAGAAGTTATTAATTTGTTAAATGATGTCCTAGACATTCATTTTTCACACTTAGAAGATTTACCTCTTGGCTTACAGTATTTTGAAAAACTAAATCCTGATTTCTTATTAGAAATTGTTAAAGAATATCTGA